GCCAGAATTGGCATTGTGGCTCAAGTAGTAGAGTGCTAGCCTTGAGCTTAGGAGGTGTGATACAGCTCCCAGGTTCATAGTTCAGGCCCCAAAACCGATCCCACCCCCCCAAAAATAAAACTATTGAGAAACCAGATTTAGGAGCAACCCAGTGAACAGGATGTCTGCAACATTACATTAAGGATGACCCAGCAAGAGCAATAGTTCTCCACTATTTCTTACTCACAGGGCACTGTTTTCCTAAACCTATATTGATTGTGAAGCTGGAGCAAGGTGCAGAAACATGGATGAGAGAAGACTCAGAAGAGAATTTCACAGGTGAGTTAAAGCATCTTGAATAGTGATGTTGGGTCCAAAGCCCAGTGGGCCTGTTTATCTTGAGCTGTACAGAGCAATAGTATTCCTAGTGCCCTTGAGTCATGTATGGAAGAGAACTAGGTGATCCTTTGTCTCAAGGAATTGTCAATCCAGAATTCTCGTGGAGAGAAACTGAATTTGATGTTCCAGTGTAGTTAATGTTAGCACTTCTGTTTGTCTGTAGAGAAGTCATTCATAAAGAGAAAAAGACAATAAGAAATGTAGTAAGGAGATCTCATTTTAAACTAGTATTTTGCAGGTAGGAGGAAAATAGGATCAGGACAATTTCTTATCAGTGGTGATGGGCGTAGAGGGAGATTCAGAATGGAAGCATTAAGAGTACGGAGATGAATAATTTGAGTAAATATTTCCTTGAGAAAAATATAAAAATCTGAAATACAGAAAAACATTATTTTCCATTGTAAAATGTCAGTACTACTTTCTTAATTACTACATTGCAGAGAAATATATTTATTCTGCATAAAGCAATGCTTCGATATTTGAAAATATTGTAACAGAATGTGAGGGAATATCTTTACATTAAGGAATTTATGGATCTCATTTTTGTTTTTGTCTATTTTTCTATTATTCATTTTAGATGTCCCAGAAATGGAGGATGTGATTAGCACCTGCCAGGAAAGTCACAATAAATATCTCTCTGAAGTAGCAATCATGAATAGTAACCCAGGGGAGGAAAAAGTGGGACTTATAAGAAGTTTTCATTTGAGCTCCATACAGAAGTCTGAACTGATTAAGAATAATGGGAACTCCTTAGGGGTGAGGATAGAAAAGGTCACTGGCTGTCAGAGCATGGGTATTTTCAGTGAACCTGGTAAGATGTGTGCTGCATATAGTACTCATGTTTCTTCTGTAGTTGACGAATGTAAACAGTGTGAAAAGTCTCTCACTGAGAAGAAACACCCTCTTGTCCCTCAGAGAAAACACATAGGAGAGACACCTTATGAATGTAACATGTGTCAAAAATCTTTCACCCAGAAATCAAAGCTTACTGTCCACCAGAGAACACACACAAAAGAGAAACCTTTTGAATGTAACATTTGTGGAAAGTCTTTTTCCTGGAAGGCATATCTTACTAGACACCAGAGAACACACACAGGAGAGAAACCATATGAATGTAACATGTGTGGAAAGTCTTTCTTCTGGAAGGCATATCTTACTAGACACCAGAGAACACACACAGGAGAGAAACCTTATGAATGTAACATGTGTGGAAAGTCTTTCACCTGGAAGACATACCTTACTGTCCACCAGAGAACACACACAAAAGAGAAACCTTTTGAATGTAACATTTGTGGAAAATCTTTCTCCTGGAAGGCATATCTTCTGACCACCAGAGAACACACACAGGAGAGAAACCTTATGAATGTAGCAAGTGTGAAAAGTCTTTCATCCGGAAATCGATGCTTACTCGCCACCAGAGAACACATAATGCAGAGAAACCTTATGAATGTAACGTGTGTCGAAAGTCTTTCACCAAGAAATCGATACTTACTTGCCACCAGAGAACACACACAAAAGAGAAACCTTCTGAATGTAACCTGTGTCGAAAGTCTTTCACCGAGAAATCAAAGCTTACTCGCCACCAGAGAACACACACAAAAGAGAAACCTTTTGAATGTAACTTTTGTGGAAAGTCTTTCTCCTGCAAGGAATATCTTACTCTGCACCAGAGAACACACACAGGAGAGAAACCTTATGAATGTAAGATGTGTGGAAAATCTTTCACCAAGAAATCAACTCTTAATCTCCATCAGAGAACACATATTAGAGGGAAAACTTATGAATGTAACTTGTGTCGAAAGTCTTTCACCCATAAAGGAAACCTTACTAGGCACCAGAAAACACACACATTAGAGAGACCTTAGGAATGTAACATGTGGAAAGTCCTTCTCTTGGTAGTCAAGCATCAATGTCCATGAGATAATACACACAGGAAAGAAACCTTATGAATGTAACATGTGTGGAATGACTTTCACCTGGAAGTCAAACCTCACTGTCCATCAGAAAACACACAGGAAAGAAACCTTATGAATGTCATATTTG